ACAGAGAGAGTGTCTGGTGCTACTTTTGATGAGGTTGTCGACATTGCTTGTCAGATTGAGATGGTTCGCAGTAAGGAGAGGGTTGAAAGGGAGGCCAATAGGCCTCATGGACAGGGAGAATTTAGCGGTGCTCTTTGCGGGGGTCAGTTCCAGCACGGTAGAGGCCGTCCTTTTAGACATGCCCAGACGGCTTGTCCAGATCACCGTGGTGTATCATCTAGCCATGGTTCTCATAGTTATCAGCAGGACCATTCATCTCTCGGTGCCCTCCTAACGCAGAGTTCGTCATGTGCTCCATCAGGTCAGGCTTCTTCTATGCCAGGTCCTTCTGCCAGTTATCCTGGTGCTCGGGGCTCCCTTCAGTCCCCTGCACCAGCAACGGGAAGTTGTTATAAGTGTGGGGAGTTTGGTCATATGAGAAGAGAGTGTCCCCGTATAGTGGGAGGTCCAGCTCCGTAGAGGAGCCAGTCTATATCATCAATACCAACCCCTCCACCACCCGCTCAGCCAGCCCGGGGTGGAGCCCAGTCAGGTAGGGGTCGCCCTAGAGGGGGAGGCAGATCAGGAGGTGGCCAGGCTCATTTTTAGGCCCTCCCTGCCAGACCAGATGACATTGATTCAAATGTTGTGATTAGAGGTATTGTCTCAGTTTGCCACAGAAATGCCTCTGTATTATTTGACCCTGGTTCCACTTATTCATATGTTTCCTCATATTTCGCTCATTTTCTGGATATGCCTCGTGAGTCTTTAGCTTTATCTGTTTATGTATCTACTCCTGTAGGTGATATTATTATTGTGGACCTCGTATATCGGTCATGTGTGGTGACTATAGGGGGTTTGGAGATCAGAGTAGATCTTTTGTTGCTCAGTATGGTCGATTTTTATGTGATATTGCTCAGAGGACGCATGTGCAATGGCATTCCCGCACCTACAATGGTCGCTGAAATGGATTTAGGACCGCGGGTGCGAGTTTGGATCACAGGTGCGATGTAGTTCCTGCACCCGCGAAGAGCTGAGATGCAGTCACTTGATCGCAAGAGCAAAGGCAGAGTTTAGGGATTTTTCTGCATAAGCGAGGCTTTGCCCGCAGATGCGAAAATGGATCCGCAAGTGCGAGAAGTCTGGGCAGAACCTATAAATAGAACACTTCGAGGTTTTTCACCATTTTCATCATTTTTGAGCTCGAATTATCGGGATTTTGAGAGAGATTTCAGAGTAATCACCGAGGTAAGTTCCTTATGCCTATTTATCTTCAATAATGGTGTTTCCCCACTGATATTACACCTAGTTGGTGAGTGTTTGAGGTGAGATTTGGGAGATTAGGGCTTGGGAATTGGAGAGTGAATTTTGTTATTTTGGAGGGGCAATTGAGGTCGGATTTTTATAAATTAGGTATGGTTAGACTCGTGAGTGAATGGGCTTTCGGGTTTTGTAACTTTCATCGGGTTTCGAGATGTGGGCCTAGGGGGCCGGGTTGAGCCGATTTTGGATTTTGGACTATATTTTAGTAGTTTTCATGTGAAAATGATCCTTTTAGCCAATATCGATTATCTCGTACTGTTTGTGGCTAGATTCGGGGCATTTGGAGGCCGATTTGAGAGGCAAAGGCATTTTGGAGTAGAATTTCTGCGCGGTTGAGGTAAATAACTGTCTTAAATCTAGTTTTGAGGGTATGAAACCCCGAGAATTGGTATGATGTTAATATTTGGAGGTGACGCACATGTTAGGTGACGGGCGTGTGAGCCTGTACCGTGAGGGATTGTGACTTGGTCCGTCCCGTGAGACTGTAAAGTCGAATAGCCATTGTTATTACTTGTTTTTCCTTGTCTTTGAGCAATTGACTTTCTTTTATGTTAGAAACTATGCTTAGGCCATATGATATCACTGTTGGGTACCGCAGCGGTCGAAAACTTGTTGAATTGACTGCTAATGGTTGTCTTGTACTCAGTCATAGTCTTATTTGTGTGTGTTATATCTCAGTTCCCTCTCATTTCTTGTTGATACTTGTTGTGTTCTCTGTTTGGGCTAATTATTATGATATTCTGTGAGCCTGAGGGACTGGAGAGGTTAGTGATTTAGATAGGGCCTGAGTGCCGAGCTGCGAGCTGCGAGCTGTGAGGTATATGGATCGGGTTGCACGCCGCAACAAGCCTTCGGGCTATATATATATATTATTGGATCGGGTTGCACGCCGCAACAATATTGGATCGGGTTGCACGCAGCAACAAAGCCTTCGGCCTATATATATTATTATTGGATCGGGTTGCACACCGCAATAATATTGGATCAGGCTGCACGCCGCAGCAATATAGCGCTTGGGCTGAAGGAGTCCCTCCGGAGTCTGTACACCTCCAGTGAGCATAGGTACCTATTAAGAGTGTGTATTGACGGCTGAGAGCCGAGAGTATGAGCTGTTGAGATGAGTTTAGTGATTGCTGCCTTGAGAGGCTGTACTTGCTTTTATTTGTTGTTGCACTTAGTTGTTATATGTTGTTGTTGTGAAATTTCTGAAAGATTCATATCTGTTTTACTTGAGCTCGAACTGATTTGACTTATACCACCGGATTTGAAAGCATGTTCACTCTTTACTAAAAACTTTTGAAATGAACTATATTTTTATAGCTCGTCACTGCTTCTCAGTTTCTTATTTAATTATGTTACTTGCTGAGTTGGTTGTACTCATGATACACCCTGCACTTCATGTGCAGATCCAGGTGTGTACGGGTCTGGCATTCACCGAGTTTGTGAGCGAGCTGATTATCGGAGACTTATGAGGTAGCTGCCGGTGTCTACAGTCCTTGTTTCTCCTTTCGTATTATCTTTTCTCTCTTGTATTGGCATTTGGCACAGACTATAGTAGACTCTGTTTCTAGATTGGTTGTCAGATGCTCATGACTCAGTGACATCCCGACGTCGGGCTATTATTCTGCACTTATATTTTATTTGGGTTTTATCCCATTTTTATGAAAAACTTCGGTTATTTTAAATGTCTTAAATTTATTTATGTTAATTGTTTTTGAAAGTGTTTTGGATAGGTCGGCTTGCCTAGTATCACGATAGGCGTCATCACGATGGGTTAGGGTTTTGGTCGTGACAGGGTGACTCTAGGGGGATCGATCCATATCCACACGCAAGAACGGCTAATTCAACTTGCTGCCAGCCCGGCATGATCATAGGCTCAATATCATAACTCGCCCGGCGTGGTCACAGTCATAACAGTATAATCCGCCTGGCGTGGTCACAAGAATAACAACACAATCCACCTGGCATTTCACAGGCATAACAACACAATTCGTTCGGCGTGCTCACATGTATAACAATAGAATCTGCCTGGCATGGTCACATGCATAACAACACAATCCGCCTGGCGTGGTCACAGGCATAACAACATAATACGACCGGCGTAGTCATAGGCATCCAATCAAATCACATTATACAGGAGCAAATAAACAAGTATACATGTATGAAATGAGTGAATAACAAATCACATGCTCATGGACTTATATAAATGACATTCTAAGTGTAGGCATGTGCAAGTGTACTATCATAGGATTATATTTATCAGTCATTCATGGATTGAGCACGTATGTGGCCTCAAACATGGTGCAAATAGTTCACAACAATGTCACAAATGTGCGAAGCATCATAGTTAAAGGTTTAACAGTCAAATTCTAGGCTTATGAGAGCCTGAGCATAACCCGAACATGAATTAATAACCCTAGTGTACGCACATAGGTTCATCCCCACTCATGTGCGTACCCAATAGAACTAGTACCTCAACCGAGTTTAAATAAGATACTTACCTCAAACAAGCCAAATCCAATACCGAGCAAGCCAAACAATATTCTAGAAATGCCATCATGCACGTACCGACCTCCAAACATCTCGAAACTATCCAAAACAACTCAAAAATATCAACTAATGCTAAAGGAAACAAACCCAATCGATAAAGGTCGAATCTTTAATCAAAAGCCCAAAGTCAAGCAAAAAATTAACAAAAGTCAATGTCGGGCCAGCCTTGGATTCCGAATCCAAGCTTACCCGAGTGAAGCCTGAACTAATACAAGCTCACACGAATGAAAACCGACTCAATAGGAGTCTGATAGCTCAACCAATTTGCCAAAACATCGCTCTTGGATGTTCATAACCCAAGAGTCCAACCCACACTAGTTGGGTCCCATATCTCCCGATATACTCCTCCAAAACTCGTCAAATTCAAGTATGTTATTCTCCTAATATAGGAGAACAAAACCCCAAAAGGAATCGAGAAATAAACGCCTCTAACTCATTTTTAGTTTTTAAAATTTAGGACATTACCCTAGGTCAATTTAAAAAATCAAATGGGTTTTCAATTAAAATCATGGATTAAAGCTTAAACCAAGAGAATGAATCAAAGTTAAATACTTAGCTTATCACTACAGGAAAATAGGTCTTTAGCGATGGGAAATTCGGTCGTTAAAACTCCAAATCCAGTCGTTATCAGTCAATTACAATAGGATAAAAACTGGTCATCACCGGTCGTTAGTGCCTCTCTCGTTAAAGGTAAACGACTGGATTTTGATTCCATCGTAAAAACTCTTTTAACGATGGAAAGGAATCCAGTCGTTATACCAAGATTAGCGAGGGGATTTTTCCATCGTTATATGTCGTCCCAATCGTTAAAAACTTCACTAACAGTAACTAATTTTCAGTCGTTGTTAGTATTTGGCGACCGAAATTCCATTCGTTAATTGTATGTACTTTCAACGACATACTCTTTAAAAACCAAAATTTCTCTTCGCTAATGTGAAATTTTAAGTAATAAATATATTACACGCATTTNCGACCGAAATTCCATTCGTTAATTGTATGTACTTTCAACGACATACTTTTTAAAAACCAAAATTTCCCTTCGCTAATGTGAAATTATAAGTAATAATTATATTACACGCATTCGAAATCATACAAAGAATGAAGTCAATATTGACATAAAACATCTTTTTTAATTATAGAGAACTAATCAAAGTGGCAATAATATTACATCCAAATTGCATGATCCTTGTTTTCAATTCCTTAAAGAAAACAAAAAATTAAAGAGAAAGTAAAATAGTAGTTTGTACAGATGACGACTACAACTCCTAATAAAACAAAATAGATTTCCCTTGTTCTTCAACAATTCTAGCTGCTTCAACTTGCTCGGAACTATCTTTATGGAAAATTCTTCAAACTTCAGGCCCTTTATCTGTTAAAAAAGGTTCATATTAGTTGAGTAAGAAAACAAGATTTAAGATGGGTAAGTTTCTACCACACAGTAAAATATAAAACCACGAAGCGAAGAGCATCTCAAAGTACTATGAACTATCAGTGCTTCTTACAACTACATTACTAAATCCAACATTAAGCGTATCATGAAACGTATTACAAATGCTCGCCAACAGTATAATAGCCACAACATTGGGAGCAAATGATACAATACAAAAAAGTATTACTGTTCCCTCCTTTTTCACAATCATGTTTAGGAAGAACCTTAGAAGAAACTAATTATCTTTAACAAGAAAGAAATGCTTAAGATTGAATTATTGGTTATTTAGGACTTCACAAGTTACTGTATTACATAACCAAAATGATCATGTATTTTTGCCCAGTAATGATCTCCCTCAACATATCAAAGGCTCTTATCGGATAGACAACATGCAGGCAGTCACTTTTGGATATAAGCATAGAATAAACATCTTCGATGAAAGTTGACACTTCAGTTGATAGCCTATCTACTGTATTTTGGTAAGTCTGTTAGATAGGCTTAAAAGTTTTGGGTAGTGTTGACTGGGCTGGTCCAGTCACACTAAAACTAAGGGTAAGGATGTTTAATCCACCTCATTTTTGTACAACTATTTTCTATCAATGGCAGGGTCTCGCCACCATACGGCGATGTTATAATTAAAAACAAAACTTCAACCATGAGAGCAATGTGCAGAAGAAAACTAATACTGAGGCAGAAGCTAAGGCTGTGGTGGAGGCTCTTAGATATTGTATTGAACATGGCTATGTTCTTATTGACTTGCACACATATTCAATAATAGTGAAGAATGCATTAGAAGGAGAGTGGGTTGTTCCTTGGTCTGTAGCAAGAGAAGTGGAGGAGATCAAGCAACTAATGTCAAAATGCAATTTTACAATTTCCCATACACTTAGAGAAGGCAATAGATTGGCAGATCACCTTGCTAATTATGCACTGGATGTTGGCCCTACTGAATAAAGCTGTTTTGGTGAATTGGATATTTAAGGAAGGATGATCGTGAACGATGATAAATCTCAATGTCTATATCTCAGAATTAGAGTTGCTGGAGCTAGGAAAAAGAGGAAAAGAGGGGCACAATGGGGAGCAAAACTACTGAATGTAACAGAGAATCTGAACAATGCTGGGCAGAAAACTTTCTATGCAGTCTTTGGCAATACAATTCAGGCACATTGCATACAAAGTGGGATAAAATATCAGTGCATCATGCTATTACACCAAACCAATATGGAATACAGGCAAAGGTTTCAAGGGGAAGCAGAGAGATGACACACAAAAATGATCGCAAATATAGTGTACTGGTTCGTTGTTGTACAGTAAACTTACTGAACAGTATGCAGGGCAAAACTATTTTTTCCTACATATGCAAGAGCTACTGGGAGGAAGAATGGTAGAAAGCTTACGAACCTGTTAAATATTAATTTCAGCTTGTACTTTGTTGACTTGAAGATGGTGCTGATGAAGGTTGATCAACCAGTAAGCTTATAATATGTGCATACTAAGAATCTATGTCGTCCATACGTATTTCTAGTGATTCTTTTACTTTTTTTGTTGCATTCAGCTCGGTCTGTAGTGATTCTTTTTCTTTTCGATGCATTCAGCTCAGCCAGTATTGCAGCCTTTGAGGAGCTACTGCCTTTCAACTCCTTAGTGGTTATACTACCCCCTAATCCAACCACATGACTCTTGTTTTGAGGTCCGAAGCATCTTTCTACTACCTCGATATTCATAAGAGATGGCTCAGATTGTACCAGTTCTTGTATCTCAGCCTATAAAATACAAGAAAAATTAAAATAATAAAATACATCAAAATAAAATGAAGGATGTAAAATGAAGTTCATCAATAAACATACATATTTTTTACTAGCTTCAGGTTCTACAAGCGTGTCATTTTTCTTGTGAGTCTCAAAGAAGATAGTCGCCATGTTCGGTGGATTACCGTCTTTGCCTCCCTTCACATTTAAATAAACAAGTCAAACAAAGACGAGTTTTTTTTATAGGATTGCACTGTGCACTTACCAGTTCGTAAATAATTTCTCTAATCGGCTTCTATCCGTACGATGAGGCATTCTCAACTTAGATCTATTGATCGAGTTTCTAATACTTGTTTCCTATATTAAGAACAAACCATTGAAATCATGAACTGTTACTTAAAATAATAAGAAGTTAAAAGTAGTTATGAAGTCTTACCTCAAAGTTTTCACTTAAAAAATGTTCCTTGACCAACCATTCCTAATTACTCTTGTCTACCTCATCCGGGACATCTTTTAGTGCTTCATGCAATGGCTTATACTTCACATACTTGTGCAATGATCCTCTCCAATTGGTCCATAACTTTCTCATATGATTTAACACATGATCTCTTTGATGATTCATGTCATCACTGTCAAATTTGTCCTAAATATTTTGCAAAATCATTAATCAAGAAAGTAAAAAATTTCATGTAAATTAAAAAAATGGATGCAGTCCACATTATGGCATATTCAATGTTTAGAACACGTACTAGGTTCAGATAAGATCTCTAAGTTTTATCAACGAACCTAACCTCTGTAATAGTTACATTTAGAGAGGAAAACAAATTGTGTATGCACAGAGACAAGAAATGTGACAGAAATCAGGATGCTTTCAAAAGAAAATCCGGAAAATAGAACATCAATAGTAAATGGTGGAGGAATCCCACCACTTGTACAACTACTGTCCTATCCAGATTCAAGAATTCAGGAACATGCAGTGACGACGCTTTTGAACTTATCGATTGACGAGACAAATAAGAGACTTATATCTGAGGAAAAACCTATCCCATCCATAATTGAGATACTGAAGAATGGAAATCTTGGTGCTAAAGAGAACTCTGCCGCAGCATTGTTTAGCTTATCTATGATGGATGAAAATAAACAAACTATAGGTTCATTTAACGGCACCCCACCATTGATAGATTTGTTAATAAATGGGACAATCAGAGGTAAGAAGGATGTAATAACTGCACTCTTCAATCTGTGTTTTATTGAGCAGAATGTGAGCTTGGCGACTAAAGCTGGGATTGTAGCACCGTTGTTTCAATTATTAGAGAACAAAAACTTAGACATGGTTGATGAGGCCCTGTCTATACAGTTACTTATTGCAACACATCAAGATGGAAGGCAAGAAATGGGAAAACTTTCTTTCATTGAAACACTAGTTAATCTGATCAGAGATGGCACTCCAAAGAACAAGGAATTTACAGTGGCTATGCTTCATAGGTTAAGCCTACACAATTCAAATCTTATGCTCGCAGCGCTTTAGTATGGTGTATATGAGCACTTAGTCCAGATTGCTGAGAGTGGGACTGATAGGTGCCAAAGAAAAGTTAAATCTATACTACAGCTTATGAGTAAACCAGAGCAGATTCCATGACAATCCAAGCCAAAATGTACATGTAAGATACAACCATGTAGTCTACCACATACTAGTGATTAGTTGTTCTTGTATACTTTTGTAAGAATTCAATTTTTTTCTTTTTCCCTTCTTGGATAGTTTAGGATAGTAAATTCTGTTTAGTTTATGTTAATACATGATCTCTTTTCCTATTAAAAAAAAAAAAGAAATGTGAGAGTTGACACCTTTTAATGATCCAGACCCTAGTATAAGTATCAATGACATGAAATTACAAGGAATGGGCAGACAACACTGGAAATTCACGACACAACTGCCCAGTTTTTGGATAGAGTTAATCATGTGCGACTGGACTTATTGGCAGGCAAAAGAGGGACTAAAGACTGCATTGAGGAGTCAATCCTCTGTGTATCTCACTAATACTAATTCTCAGCATTGGGGACTCACAAAGAGTTCATCATATTCATGCTGGAACTCATAAGAGTTGAATACCAAACAGTGCTGGCTCGCCTATGAGCATAGTAGCTAGACAGTTGAGGCAATGAAGAATACAGCCATTTGGGACTTTCTAAGGGAGAAACATCTGCACTTAGGGGCATCATACCTTTGTGTCAATAAGACATACAGGGGCATCATACCATTGTGTTAATAAAATACAGCTTAACTCTCACACCAGAAGAATTACTCAAGAGGAACAACTACTGTCCAGGTGCTCGATGATTAGCTATGCCATGGGATTTTGGTGCTCAAAAATGGGATCGATGAGTGCATTCTGGACTGAAATCTCAGTGCACTTTATTACCCCCATATACCGAACAAAGTTGGTCTCAGAATTTTGCTCGAACTCACAAGAGATCTGCAGCAAACTATGCAAACTCACTCATGCGCACAACTGCTGGTATAAAGATTTCATATTTTACAGAGCAGTTGCGGTGGATCACAAGGTGCTACAGCTGGTACAATGCATTTGTATTAATCATATACAACACAAAGGATATAATGATCATGGTTTCTTGAGCTCATCACCACAAATCTGGATAATGCAAGATGCAAAAATTGCTTACTACAATCGACGAAGGCTGCCCAGGCAGCGTTACTGTGCAGGGGAATTATTTGAGGATAACACCACTTCCACAGGGCTAGTTTTTAATCTTGATGTGTACACAGATGAAGCTCAGGTTGATCGACGATATCTGAGATGTAAAGATAGACACGACATTTTACTGGAAAATCAAGGCCACACCAAGGCATTAGGCTTTGCGATTGTAATTGATATTCATTATGCGGATGATCATAGGACTCACACACTCAAGGAAGATGCAGATGCTGGTTTGGACATTAATTTAGAAGATTCACTGGATTCATTATGTTCAAAGTTGGGGCAGTAATGGTGATACAGAAAGATCTATTTGAGATTCTTTTTAAAATTCTAACTAGCATCTTAATTAGATAACACTTCATAGTCATAGAAACACACTCTCTAAGTTAGACACAGAGATTCAAGAAGTGATCCTGACAAGGGATGCAGTGAAAGACAACTTATAAATGCAAACCAGCTTATAAATAAAGATTCAGAGGAAACCAACTTACAGAGAAAATGTTCCTTTGTTTTCCAAGTTCAAATGTTATTATTTTGATGTGGTGAAGGTTAGAAATTTCAATTAGTAAGGATAAACCTGTCCCACTTTATGAGCAAACACTTAAACCTGCCCATGTTATGACACTCTTTCCATTTTAGGAAGTTTCAATTTGTTTTATAAAGAAGAAGTTTCAAAATCTGAACTTTGATATGATGCCTTTCCAATCAAACTATTCTTTCAACCATCAGTTAATATTTTTCTTTAACTATCACTAATGCAATGAGTCAAATTAACATCTTAAACAGTGTGTCTAGTCAAATACCATGACATATAATACCATTACATTTCAGGATGGTGAAAATAATTGAATGTAAAATGCAACAGATCATTTGTGGTATTAGCATTGATTAGAACTGCTTTAACAAAAATTTTCAGCCACCATCAGCATATCTACCATAGACCATAAACAGAGTGGGAACCGTAAGAGAAATTTCAAGTACTTTCAATTAAAATATTGCTTTATAGTGCTTTAAATGCTTACCGTAACAGCTCGCCACATGTGTTCCAGCTTATCTTCTCCGATGTCCTTCCATGAATGTACTTGCAACGGACACATATTACGATCAAAAACTAGGAGGCATAAGATTATTACTATTATGTGCTAGCTTATTCTGCTCAAAAGATGTTGAGTTGTGATTTTTACTTTCCCCAACAAGATTTCTCTTTCCAACACTTCCTTTTGTCGAGGCCACAGGTCTAACGTTTTGCCCGCGTCCCCTTGCTAAAGCACCAGGTTGACTGTAAGTGTCTCGTACATTCTTTGAAGTAGCTCCAACTTTTGAAGATTTTGATTTGAGTAAAGCATAAAATAACTTCCAATCTTATAACAAAAAAAAGAATAATTAAAACTTGAGACCTTGCATCATTTCAGCTTCTTGAGTGAAGGGAATATCTTCTTCCATCATATCAAAACCAGAAGGCATAAGATTATTACTATTATATGCTAGCTTATTCTGCTTAGAAGCCCCTAAGTTGTAATATTTAATCTCTCCATACAGATTTTTATTGCCAACATTTACTTTTGCAGAGCCCAAAGATCTAAAGCTTTGCCCTCGTCCCCTTGCTAAAGACGCAGGTTGAATGTATGCAAGATTTACATTCTTCAAAGCTGCTCCTGTTTCTGCAAATTTTGATTTATGTGAAACATAAAACCAATACCAGTTCAATAAGAAACAAAACAAAAAAAATTAAAACTTAAGAGACCTTGCTTCGCTTCAACGTTTTGAGCGAGGGGAGCATCGTCTTCCACCGAAGCGAAACCAGGGGGCACAAGATTATTAGTATGTGCAAGCTTATTCTGCTCAAAAATTGTTGAGTTATGATTTTTACTTTCGCCAATCAGAGTTCTCTTTTCAATACTTATTTTTACAGATCCCAAAGATCCAAAGTTGTGTCCTCTTCCCCTTTCTAAAGCACCAGGTTGAATATATGCATGATGTACATTATTTGAAGTTGCTTCCATTTTAGACTTCTGAAATTTTGATGGATTCATGTCAACCTAAAATAAGATAAAAGTATAGAGTAATTGTTAGCTGAGAAAGATAAAAAAATCATTAAGAACAGTAATAAAATTATTTATCCACAAGTAATTTTCCATGCCAATATTATCGATAAAAGAATTAACCGTGTTAAAATTAGAAAATATAGATAAAATACAACAAGGTTGAACTTGTAAAACCACAGATTTAACGAGATATTGCAGCCAATTTTCTTACAACAAATATTCTACTAGTAATAATAAGACAAAAGTATGAGCCTTGAAAGAAGTCTGAGCATGATAAATTTGTAACTAGTGTTGGCATTATTGTAAAAGAAAAATATAAAATGACATTTATAATGAATCAACAGTATGCCAAATTATGCATTATTTTTTTTATAAGGTAGAAATTTTATTCTGAATGTACCACTTGGTACCAAATGAGTACATCAGATTGGAGGAAATATCCATAACAGTCGTTTATATTTTTAATCCTAGCAAGTCTAGAAAATCCATGAACTGATTCATATTAACTATCAGTTCCAGTTATCCTAGAAAAGTAAGAAGCAAGAGGCCGCAGGAAATAAATGTTAACAACATCCACTATAAAGGTTAAAAACCTTCATGAGTTCTTTTCCTTTTTATTTGTGTAGAATTCTCTAAATTCCCCAAATCATCATCCTTTTCTTGCAAAATGTCAAAAGTATCACGATGAAGAACTTTTCTTGCAACATGCCAGCCTTTATTTGAAGGATCATCGACATAAAATACTTGTAATGCTTGGTTTGTTAATACAAATGGCTCATTAGTTTTTAATAATCGCTGAGGATTAACACTCACAAAGCCATATTCATCAATTTTAACTCCCTTTTCTTCGTCATACACATCAAACCATATACATCTAAACAAGATCACTCTTTTTCCTCCAATAAATTGCAATTCAAGAATCTCAGTGAGTTCTCCATAATAATTAATATTTTTATTCTCTTCATCTGTCTCACCAACTACAACCACCCCGCAGTTTTGAGTTCTCAAACCCCTGTCATAGTCTTCCACATGAAACCTATATCCATTAGTAATGTAACCTTTGAGACGTCTCACATATGGCAGGGGACCACGTGACAAAGTGTAACGACTCGGCCGGTCGTTTCGACAGTTATAACCCCATTTTTCCTATTTCTACTTTTTTTTATGTTATTCAACTATATTATATTATATCGGGTTAGTTGGTTCGGGTCCGAAAGGAACTCGGAGTGAAATGAGACACTTAATCTTATAATTGAAAATGTTGAGTTAGAAAAGTAGACCGGTTATGGACCAATATGTAAACGACATCGGATTTGAATTCTGATGGTTCCGTTAGCTCCGTTAGGTACTTTTGGACTTAGGAGTGCATTCGGGATGTGATTTGGAGGTACGTGGTAGAATTATGCTTGAATTGGCGAAATTGAAAATTTGGCGATTTCTGTCGGCAGTGAAAAATTTGATATCGGAGTCGGAATGGAATTCCGGATGTTGGAGTCGGCTCGTACTGTCACTTGTGACGTGTGTTCAAAATTTGAGATCATTCGGAGGTGGTTTGGTTGGTTTTGGCATAGGTTGCCAAATTTGGAAATTTAGAAGTTCTTAGGCTTGAATCTGAGGGTAATTTAATGATTTGATGTTGTTTTGAGTGATTCGAAAGTTTGACTTAGTTGGTATGTTGATATATGACTTATTGGTATTTTTGGTTGAGGTCCCGAGGGCCTCGGAGTAATTCCGGGTGGTTAACGGATTTGTTCAAGTTGGAAAATACAGCTGGAGCTGCTGTTCTGGTGTGTCCGCACCTGCGGATTGGAAACCGCAGGTGCGATGATCGCAGGTGCGTGGAAGGCTCGCAGATGCGGATATGGTCGCAAATGCGAAGAATGGATCGCACATGTGGGCTCGCAGGTGCGAGGAGACTGCCGCAGGTGCGAAGTCTGGTCAGTTAAGTGGAATGCGCAGGTGTGCACCGGTGTCCGCAGATGCAGAAGCGCAGGTGTGAGAAAGGGTCTGCAGGTGCGGAATTCCTGGGCAAAAACCATAAATAGAACCCTTCACGAATTTTCGTCATTCTTCACAATTTCAACTCGATTTTTGGAGCTTTTGGAGGGGTTTGAAGAGGGAATCAAGGGGATTTCGTTGAGGTAAGTTACTTGAGCCCTAATATTTGTATATATGATGATTTTCCATTATTTTAATCATGGTACTTAGTGAAAATGAGGGGTTAGGGCTTGGAATATTTGGAGAGTAATTTAAGGATTTGAAGGACCAAACAATGTCGGATTTTGATGAATTTGGTATGCTTAAACTCGTGAGTGAATGAGCTTTCTAGTTTTGTGAATTCTGTTGGATTTCGAGACATGGGCCCGGGGGCCGGGTTTGAGCCAATTTCGGGTTTTGGTCTAATTTTGTAGTTTTTCTTGTGGAATTCATTCCATTAGCGCGTATTGATGGTATTGTACTGATTGTGAATAGATTCAGAACATTTGGAGGCCGAATTCAGAGGCAAGAGCATTGCGGGTTAGAGATTTGACCGATTTGAGGTAAGTAACGATTGTAAATCTAGTCCTGAGGGTATGCCACCCCGAATTTTGTATCATTCTACTATTTTTAGTGATGCACATGTTAGGTGACGGGCGTGTGGGCGTGCAATGTTGGAGATTCATGACTTGGTCCGTCCCGTAGCAACTGTAAAGTTGCATACTTTGTTGAAACTATATGATACTTATATGTTTTAGAAAGAATTTCTCTAAATTGGGCTGAATGCCATGTTTGGGCCTTGCGCCACTGTTGTTTGGATAATTAGGGGCTGTTTCTTACCATCCTCTAATTGTTTTCGATTAAAAATCTATACTCAGTCATGTTTATACTTGTTTACCGCATAACTCAGTTTTATGACTCTATTTTGATGCATATAAATGTTTTGGGCCGAATGCCCTGTTTTACTGAAATGCCCAAGTGGCTTGAGAGGTTTATGACTGAGTGAGGCCGAGGGCCTGATTTGTGAGGATGAGTGTGGATCGGGGCTGCCCGCCTGCAGCATACTTTATTATTATCGCACGTGAGTTGTCCGTGCAGATTATAGCGCTTGGGCTGAAGGAGCCCCTCCGGAGTCTGTACACACCCCCAGTGAGCGCAGGTACCTACTGAGTGCGAGTGCCGAGTGCTGAGTGACTGGGAGGCATGAGTGATTGTGAGGTATGCCCGAGTGGCAAGAGTGATTGTGAGGTATGCCCGAGTGGCAAGAGTGACTATGAGTTTTGCCCGAGGGGCTATTTATGATTTCATCGTTTTGCTCACCTTTGCATTAAGCCTTTGTTTGAAAAACTATTGGAAAAATATCTTTAAATAATTTTTTACTGGAACCGAGTTAAACGAGATGATTTGATTCAACCACTGATTTTTTAAAGCATGCTGTACTTTACTGAGATTTCATGATATGGACGTTATATGTTTTATTGCTCGTCACTACTACTCAGTCTTTATTTATTGGTGTTACTTACTGAGTTGGTGTACTCACATTACTCACTGCACCTTGTGTGCAGATTCAGGTGTAGCTGGACATGGTAGCGGTTATTGAGTGTTCTGGTTGCAGATTTTCTTGAAGATAGCAAGGTAGCTGTTTGGCTATCGCAGCCCCTGATCTTCTCCCTCTTATCTTCCTCTAGTTGTATTTAGGTATTTCTAGGCTGGGTTAGCCTTGATATTGTTAGAGAGATTGTAGTAGATGCTCATGACTAGTGACACCCCGATGTTGGGCTTTTCTTTTCCGCACTTTTGTTTTTCTTTGATTTGAACTCTTTAAATGAAGGTTTTATGTTAAATAATATCGAAATTATCTTGGAAATGAAAATATCGGTTTTGTTTGGAAATGAGTCGGCTTGCCTAGTTCCACGATAGGCGCTATCACGACAGGTTAGGTTTTTGGGTCGTGACAGATTTGTATTAGAGCCTAGGTTACATAGGTCTCGCGAGTCATGAGCGGGTTTAGTAGAGTCTTGTGGATCGGTATGGAGACGTCTGTACTTATCTTCGAGAGGCTGCAGAACTTTTAAGAAACTCCACATTCTTGAATTCTTGTCGTGCGAATTTGTTGATTCTAGTAACTAAACATCTGTTGTTTCATTCTCTCACAGATGGTGAGGACTCGTACTACCGGTCAGGAGGACCAGCCACCAGTACCACCTGCCAGGGCTGCGAGAGGCCGAGGCCGCGGTAGAGGCCGTGGTAGGGCAAAGGTGCAGCCCGTACAGCAGCCGGGGCAATACCTGCAGATCCACTGGTTGTCCCATATCAGGACCAGGTTCGAGTTATTGATACACCAGCTCAGGCACCACATGTGCCTATTGTGATTCCAGGCCTTCAGGAGGCCCTAGCTCATATTCTGACGGCGTGTACTGGCCTTGCTCAGGCGGTCTCTATTTCGACGGCCGCAGCCACTTCTCAGGCCAGGGGAGGCACTCAGACTCCCGTCGCTCACACACCCGAGTAGGTTATTCAGGGACTTCAGACACCAGAGGCACCACCAGCCCAGCCGGTTGCTGTTGCTCAGAATTATGTGGTTCTTGCTATGCCTAAGGATGATTAGCGTAAGTCGGAGAGGTTTGGGAAACTTCAGCCACCACCTTTCAGTGGCACAGAGAGAGAGGGTGCTCAGGACTTTTTGGACAGGTGTCAGAGGATACTCCGTACTACTGGTATTTTGGATACTTGTGGGGTCTCATTCACTACCTTTCAGTTTTCTGGGGCTGCACTCAAATGGTGGGAGACTTACGAGAGGCGCAGGCCTGTTGGCGCAGCACCCCTTACTTGGCAGCAGTTCTCCGTGGTCTTTTTGGAGAAGTTCATTCCTCGATCTCGTAGAGAGGAGCTGCACAGACAGTTTGAGCAGCTTCGCCAGGGTGATATGTCTGTAACACAGTATGAGATGCGGTTATCTGAGTTGGCCCGTCATGCGATCTGGTTGGTTCCCACGGACAGGGAAAGGATCATGAGGTTTATTGATGGTCTCACTTATCAGCTACAGTTGCTCATGACCAGAGAGAGGGTTTTGGGTGCTACCTTTGATGAGGTTGTCAACATTGCTCGGCAGATTGAGATAGTTCGCAGTCAGGAGAGGGTTGAGAGGGATGCCAAAAGGCCTC